GGGGAATTCTGGGAGTTGAAGTCCACACATCTTAAAGTTGCCAAGTGTGAGAAACACGATCTGTATGGAGTGAAGGATTACAGTGTCTTCCTTGGAGTGTGCATATAAAAGAGCTTTTTGCTTGTATATCACTTTGCAGGGACAAAGACAGCTGGGGTAGAATCCCCATTTGTGACTTGTGGTCAGTAGCCTTTTTTCTAAGACTTTGTGTGCTTACCTAAAATAGAAGGAAGAGGAGGTAACACATTCTCTGCCTGTGGAACCCTCTGCCACATGGTTTGAGGACAGCTACGTAGTAAAGTTGGAATTTCAGAGATTACCAGGCAAATCTGTCTGTCTGTCTTTCTGTCTATCGAATTTGTCACCGCCGATCTCGTTAAATGACTCTTTAGTTACATTACTCTATAGTAATGAAAATATTAGCACATTTCTCCATTCTGGGGAGCATCTCTTTGTTTTGGATATGCTGGGGCCAAACAAGAGTCATGGATGAAAGGGTCTTGGAGGTATCTGATTATTTTCCAAGATATTGTGCTCCTTAAAATGGAAGCTTGTCTGTTACATTGAATAGAGATGTAATATTTTTAGGGAATGTGTTGGACTGGGTCCAAGTGTATTTTTCTTTGTGTCCAGCTTCTATGGGAGAAGAAAGTATGTGGCCACTGTTTGGTATTTACTCTCTGATTGACTTGCCTTCTGTGACACCACCACGAATGCTTCCCGTCCTCAGAATAATTTTCTTTGAAAACAAAACATAAAAATAGGATGATAAATGAACTGACACATTCATGATCAAGGTATAGGAGATGCTTGCTGGCCTGAAGGAGGAGGTAAGTATGGTAGAAATAGTTTTTGTTTCCTTTCCCACACTGATACATGGAGAGCAATGGAGGAACTAGCTGGCTTGTTGCCCCATCTGGTCTTCGCCCGTTGTTTGACGGGTTGATCACTGCAAGGGTGAAATTCCTATTTGCATGGATTATTTTACATGATTTATATTTCTTTGGAAAATAAATGAAATGATGAGAGCCCAGAGGTGCCCCAGATGTAGGTTTGCTCTCTCTGGAATTCAGCAGAAGCTGCTGGACAGGGGCCTGCCAGTCATTCGGAGCTTAAGAAAGTGCTCAACAGCTTTGGCGCAGTCAGTTAGCCCCAAAAGGCATTCAGTGGAAAAAGATGCTTTATTTGGGCTGATGCACTGAATGGGAGGCTGGACATTTTGCCCTAAATGGGCCCTTCTAAATTCTTAGGTTTCTTCGATTCTGTTATAAAGAATTTTTTTAGGGCCTTTAGGAACGGTGGGAATTAGGTTCAGGAGTTGGGCCAGGGCTCTGCACGTTTTTGTGTTGTGAGTTTGTCATGCTGTGCCTTGATTATTGTATTAGGATAAGTTTTTATTGTGCTTAAATTGTAAGGTGTACAATATTTTATTATTGTATCTCCTGTGGGTTGAATGTCAGCCACCTAGAGTTAGTTATTTTATTTAGAAAATAGACGTTTTCTAAATGCACAACACCAAAAGTCAGGGTTAGTCTGTTTGTTTGTTTATTTATATATCACATTTATATAGCCGCCCATCTCACACAGCAGCTCTGGGCTTTGAATATTGGGAGTTGAAATCCACACGTCGTAAAGTTGCCAAGGCTGAAAAACGCTGGCTTAGACCCTTGAGGGGTGAACGTCTACTTTATCTTTAGGGAAGGACAGAGCTGCTCATGCTGAAAGTCCTGGGTTCAGTTTTTGGTATCTGGGCAAGTACGAATGAGGGAGGGGGAATCCTTCAGTTGGAAGGGCCCTTTGAGATCGTCAGATCCAACATCCAACCCACTTTGTGAATTCAGACTCAAGCATTCCTGACAGATGGTTGTCCCACTTCAGCTTGGACACATCTAGCCAAAGGGAGCCCACCACTGCAGCTGAAACATCCATGCCTGCTCATCATTGACTGACTTCACATATCTCATTAAACCAAAGCTTGCATCACCTGGTGTTACAAACCAAAATTTACAAAGCAGAGTGGCTTGCTTACTCATGATACAAATCCAGAATCCATCAAACTGCCTTACGGTTTAGGGTCAGGATTAACTCTGCTTCTCTGTCTGTGCCCAGCGCTTGAGCGTGAGTAGTTTGCCAAAGACTGAACTCTCAAAATTGGGCAGGGCCCAGACAAAACATTAAATTTGATTTATCTTCATTAAATGCTACTGAAATAATGTTCATTAATCCAATATAGTTCATGTGATTACTGCTGTGTATTTATAGTTGTTCCGTCAAATGGAGCTTGCATTGGCAGGACCCACTGAATCAGGCTTACGGTACTGTGTTTGACAACTTTAACCTAAATGTCTGGTTTGTACAGACACACTGAACCATAAACCACTTGCTTTAGCTGGGTTCATACATAACGCAAGGAAAAAATGTGGAGGCTGAATCTGCGGATCCTACAAACACAGCCTAAAAGTTAACATTTGGGGGCAACTTTTGAAGGGCCCCTGGGAGTTTATGCAAGCCACACATAATCCTAGGGCTTCAAGTTTTTCATTTTTGCAATATTGCAGTGTGTCAATCCTGTGTCATATGCACACTAGCAGCCTAAGCCTTCCTTGTTTTCCCCTCCGTTATTTGCATAGCCGCTGTGCTTTTTCCATACACTAATTTAACTTGGGTCATGAGTCCCGAGCCAGTGGTTAGAGCAGTGTTTCTCAGCGTTGGCCACTTGAAGATGTGTGGACTACACAACATGGCTGGCTAGGAATTCTGGGAGTTGAAACCCACACATCTTCAAGTGGCCAAGGTTGAGAAACATTGGGTTAGAAACTGACGGTGTACAGAGAAAGGAAGACTGAAGGGGCAGACGGGTCTCCTTGTGGCTTAAAAACTGCAAAATAAAAGCCCACTGAAACACTGCTTTGAATATCTAAGAGGAGATGACTGAGAATTACCTTCAATTTCAGGATACAGAAAAAAATCTGGGTTCTCACTCTTACGATAATTGATCTCCAGTGGACTCTTGGGGAAGCAGCTGAGAGCTTTTGAACTTGAAACCTGCTCGTT